TTTGCTAGGAGAGGTGGCTCCCTTTGCAAGCTTGTCTACCCTGTGGTATTCATGGTCGGAAGCAACACGCAAGGATTTGTGCTTGCGATTACCCTGCTGCTCGTTTGCAGAGTCGCTGGAGGGGCTGCAGGACACAGCAATCATCCTGCTGTCCCTGGGGATAAATGAAGGAATACAAGAACCCAGAGCCAGATCAGCCAGCAAGTTCAAGGCGTGGGACTCGTAGTTGTCCCCCTTCAGATCAAAACCGAGATCAGCAACCCCGCCTGGGTAAATCTCACTCGTTTGGCTATCTGCTCCGTGGCATTGGGAAGAAACCTCGCTCGGGAGGACAGAGGATGGCTCCTTCCAGTCTGCGAGAGAAAAACAAAGTCAGAGAATAAACAAAGGCCACAGAGCTCTGCCTCAAGAAGGGATTCAAAGCAGGCTTTCAGTTTGGCAGGAAAAAAGCGTCTCTCCAACGTGGAATTTGCACACTTAAAAACTGAACACCTCCACGACCATGCTACAAAACCACCTCCATGGCTGCTACAAAAGGATCCAGTGTTGGGATCTAAGCAACTTTAGGAAAGGGATTTATTCTCACAAAGAAAAGGGATCCAGAGTGAACAAAATTTCCCTTGTCCTCTGTGCACAGGGTAGTTTGGCCACTTAAATACAACCTGAAATATTTTAAGTGTTTCCTTAATCCTTTTTTTTTTCTTTAGATTTTCTTCTAGATAAACCCCTGCTATGCTTTCAATAATTCACAGTTACCGAAAAACCCTGTCTAAAACACAGAGAAAACCTACCCTGCTCTTATGCTTCCCGCTGCACACCCTCTCAAGAGCGTAACCTGCCCCTGAGCTGCACTTCAGAGCACACGCAGAAACCTGGGGGCTCCCAAAGGCAGTCAGAGCACAGCAAATTAGGTGTTTGTTTAGTTTCCAGCGTTAAAAACGCCCCTCACTATGGCTCAAGGCCCACGTTTGTAAAAACAGTATGAAGTCATTAAACAAGGTTAATGCCCTCTACTAAAAACCAGCACAAAAAATCTCTCTTCAAGTAGAACTTTATTAACATTCATTTATGCTGAAGTTCTATGTGTTACATTTAATTCCCTTGGGAACGGCATAGTAAGACACATAAATTGAGTACTTCTTACTCCTAAACATTCTGATTTTGCATTTGTGGCAGATCTTGGCGTTCAGCAAAAAAAAACCTGACACCCTGCCTGTGTGAGAGCACTGGCCAGATCCGTGCCAGGAACCCCCACGTGACAGGGGTAACGAGGGGCGGCGTTTGATACACACACACTGATGAAAAGTGCCACGTTTCAGGAACACGTGGTGATAAAAAGACCAAGAAGAATGGATAAACTCAGCTGAGGTGAGGCTAAACCTGTCTCTAAAGCCTCCACCTCCCCCAGGAAGGGGAAAAAGAAAGACCAGGGACAGATCTGAAAAAGGACATCAAAGCGCAAGTGTGAGAAAAATTAAGAGAATTAACTAATTAACAGAAAATGACTCTCCTGTTCCGTCATTTATTTTGGCACCGTGATGCTCGTTCTCAGTTTAACAACAGACTCCCAGCCAGCACCTGCAGACGCTACACTCAGGGCTGTCCACGCTGCCTCTTAAACCTGCTGCAGTCTGACTGCAAAGGCTGCGACAATTCGACTCTTTTTAAAACGACTGGATTTACAATGCAACAGACTAAAAACCTCGGCTGGCTACAAGCAGAGGTTATAAGGCTCTGTCCCTCAACACCATCTCAGAGCTCAGCAGTTAAAAATCAGGCTTTTTAAACTATCCCAGCAGTTTGCCAAGGATGTAAACTGAGGGCTTAGGAAAAGACTCAGAAAAGACCCCGTGTGGTTTGGACATTCTGCAATGGTGATTTTCACAGTCGCCTTCATTATTTTACACTATGAGTGTGTAACTGGGAGCCTGCAGGCTGTGGGGCAACAGTACCCAGGCCCCAAGCAAGACCCTCAGCACTAAATGTGGTAAGGCCCTTTGGCTGCTGCCGAACGTGCTGTCACTACCATCTGGTCATGAGCTGACCGTGATGTTTGATGGCTCAGCTTTTAAAGGAAAGATTTCCACAGGGAACAGTGCTCTGACCACTTTCCGCTTGCTTTTTGGCTTGAGGTTTCGATGGGCTATTAGCCACACTTTTTAGCAACTTACTTTTCTCTGGCTTCGTGACAGTCTCATCAACAGGAAGGTTTTTGATGTCCGGGTTCTTCAGTGTCTTTGGTCTCTTTGTTTCCAAGCCAGGATCATCGGGAGCTGAGGTTTCCTTCTGAACAGGTTCAGACTGTGTTTTGTGTACAAATTCTGCAGACAGGACCTCCGCACCTGGGACAAGGAAAAGGGAGAGCATTTCTTTTGGTTTGAGACATATTCGGGTTAAAAAGGAGTAATTGCAAAATATCCAGTTAAGGAAAGTGGAAGGACTGCTCTGGAAGTGATTGGCAGCAGCAGAGTAATCTTCAGTGACTTGATTTATGCATCTGATCTTATAAATGGGTTTGTTACTGATGTGAGTGATCAGTAAGCAGTTATTAAAAATTAAGCATCACTTCTTAAGCTCATTAAAAGCCAGCTTTCCTGACTCAGAATAGGTGTTCTCCAGGGATAAGTCACTCTAATGCCTGCCTGGCACATTTGCACCCTGACAGAACTTCTTTACCTCTCCAAGAAACACACAAGAGCCTCTCCCCGATCCATCAGCAATGTCACCCAGGCCTGAGGCAATGTGCCCCAGGACAGAGCTCGATGGACTGTGAATCAGAGCTGGCTTCAGCTCACAGTCAGCAGACACCGTGCTACCTCCTTGGCTACGTAACAGCCCCTTTCTACAGTCACTGCCTGTAATGTATGTAAATGCCAGGAGAGGCTCCTTTCCGTGTTTTCAGCCACGTTTCATCACCAAGGTTGAGATTCATCTCAACCCACTTTGAGTGTCTCTACAAATCAGGTGGAGATTCGGGCTGGCTCAAAAGGACAGGCTTAGCCTATCCTCGGCAGTAAGACAGCAGCCTTCAGAGGACAATTTATGCCATTGAGACACCTCGCATGAGCAGCTCAGGCCAGATACCAGCTTTCAGAAGAGTAAGTTGGGTGTGATGGATCTCACACTGCTTGTTTCCACAGCAAGAAAGTTGACTCTCGGGGAGTCAGAACATGACCACGTAGGATAGCCGGTTATCTAGGCAGCCTGGAATGACCACGGCTTTGGCAACTGCTCCTCGCCTGAGCCATCGACAGCCCATGGGCAAGGGATGCAATAACCATGACCTGGCCGATGTACCTGTGCACAGTCACTCATAAGCAAAGGAAGGCAACAGCATGGACCTTCTGCACTGGGTTTTGGGCACCTTCACTGACGGGCTGGCTCAAAAGGACAGGCTTAGCCTATCCTCGGCAGTAAGACAGCAGCCTTCAGAGGACAATTTATGCCATTGAGACACCTCGCATGAGCAGCTCAGGCCAGATACCAGCTTTCAGAAGAGTAAGTTGGGTGTGATGGATCTCACACTGCTTGTTTCCACAGCAAGAAAGTTGACTCTCGGGGAGTCAGAACATGACCACGTAGGATAGCTGGTTATCTAGGCAGCCTGGAATGACCACGGCTTTGGCAACTGCTCCTCGCCTGAGCCATCGACAGCCCATGGGCAAGGGATGCAATAACCATGACCTGGCCGATGTACCTGTGCACAGTCACTCATAAGCAAAGGAAGGCAACAGCATGGACCTTCTGCACTGGGTTTTGGGCACCTTCACTGAAATCCCCTGTCATAGCCCTGGGCTCCTTCCCAGGTTAAACAAGAGACTGTGGAGACACCACCACAGACCTACTTGGATGCTCTCAGGGAGGCATCTACTTGCTCTGGGCGAGGGGCCGTGGTGCCTAGTGAACCCTCAGTATTCCAGCTGGATACCCTGGAGAAGCAGGAGGAAGTCAGTCCCATTTATATAGCACTTACCTCTTTTCCTTCTGTGGGGAAACTGCAAATTGGCTAATTTAAGCATGGGCTCATTGGGATTGGCCGTGAGCCCTGGCTTTTTAGGAAAAGAGAAAGCAATGCTGATTTTCTTCTTCTTGGTTACTTTCCTGTTCCTGCTGCTGTCCCCCACAGGATGCATTTGCATTTTGAGGGGTGACCATTTCTTCCTGGTGCTGGTCACAACGGCTCGGCTGGATTTTCTCCTGCTCTGGTGCACCCATAGCTTGCTGGCCGAGTTGATGTCTTTTGTGGGCCTTTCACCACTCTGGTCCAGCCCCACCATGGGCTTTGGGTTGTCACTTTTGACTTTTATTTCTGCTGCTGTGTTGGGAGGAATAGGGTCTGATGGCACAGCTGAAGAGAAGTGCCCTTTACAATCAGCCTCTGAATCGCAGCAAAGAGACTGAACAGCACCAGTCAAACATCCTAAGGCAGCTGACATTTCCAGAGTATAGCTGCTGGGATCGGAGAGATAATGCTGCAGTTGGGAGAAGGACCGTTCTGAGTGTTTTTTGAAGGGATTAGTACATTCATCCTCGGTTGGTGAGAGGAGAGAAGAAAGGGGAACTTCACTGGTTTGGCCAGAGGTGGGCTGTGCATTTTGATCAAGCTTTGCATATTCCTGGAAGCGCTGTTTGATACATATGCTGGTGCTGACTGTGTCCTCCCCTGAAGAACTGGTGGCTTTCTGTAAGGCATAGCGAAGTCCAGGCAAAACTGAGGCTATTTTTAATGAGATGTCACTGTCGTCACTATCTTCCCTTTCATCTTTGGGATCCTCCTTTTCAACTGCGAAAGTAAAAAACCAAAATTTTACTCATATTGAAAAAGGATTAAATTCCCCAAATCACCTCCCTGTTACATGCTAAGAGAACGTGAAAGCTATGAAAAAGCCCCAGAAGCCAACCTACAAAAAGCTAGCCCCAGGGGTGATGTCCTGCTTTGATGGATGCTTGTAACTGCTGAAGGTAAAAAAGAATTGTGTGCGGGAGTCAAAAGTGGATTAAACTCAGATGAAAGACTGCTGTTGTATCAGCTAGCCCCGTTCTGCAGGAAAATACAGGGCAAGATCGCACACATAGTGGGGTAAGTCCCTTCAGTCCAGCAACTCTCACTAAATCAAACCTCTAAGATGGTCAGGGCTCTGAAAATATATGGGATTTGTAGGGTTTTTTCAAACCTGTTTAAATTTAGGGTTGCCCATGCAGGGTGTTTGGACTAGCGTCATTTTCAGATCACTTGTGTTGTTTATGTCCCTGTTCTGATGTAACTTCCAGCAGCTCCATCTCTACCTGCTGTCAGAGTAGGTGGATGCAGCTCACATGAAGACACCAAGTTAGTGCTCTGGAGTGGGATGGGGAACACAAGACTTCCCCAAGCAGACCAGGGGACTGTATAAATGAAGAACACAAACCCCTGGGTGATCTTCTAAAGCTGAGGGATTGATCCTACCGAAAACAGTTGGCGCTTCTCATTTC